GAAGTGAGCTGGGCTTCTCTGTGCCAGATGACATTTAATATCATCAGTATAAGGTGATGCACTTGGCAGTGAGGGCATTAAGTATAAAATGGGACGCCAAGAGTTGGACCAGATCGCGGAAAGAAAAGGACTCAGGGGTTATCATTTCCAGGGATTTAAACGCTGAACGGCAAAGCGAAACAGCTAGGAGCAGAACACTTCGGATGCAGGGATTTATTAACAGAAATGTCCGTTACCAAGAGCACGAACGTTGTCAAAAGTTGTGCTTAGCTAATACCAGACCACAGTTAGAGAACTGTACGCATGCCTGGTCGCCATGCTTTCCCTAAGATATAGATAGGTTGGAAAGAGTACAGCGAAAACCGACTAGGATGATAGATGGGATTGGCGACTTGGAATACATGGATAGGTTTAGAGTCTTGGGGAGGTATTCTGTGAAATATCGTAGACTTAGAGGGATCTGACAGAGATATTCAAGATTATGAAAGGGATAGCCGAGGTAGATACACAGGGAGGATTCGGCAACAAATCAACAGGGGTGTAACACCAAACATTTCATATTTTGATGACTTTCCTTCCAAGGTTTTTTCATTTGCCCCGAATCTCAGTGCCATTTTAAGGAAGGTCAGGATAATGGTCGAAGAGCGCTTGTACGTTGTACATGTACATTTATACATACGAAGAGCATTGAAGAGCCTCGGGCATCTGTACGAAGTCAGCTAACACACTCATCTCCCCGAGCCTATAACCCTATCAATAGTAAGTTGCATCACACAAAACTATTTGCCATAAACGTGCAATGAGGCGGTGCATCTTTTGCCTTCTAATTTTTTCCTCCCTTAATTTTCGAAACTGTGACAGCGTGACAAAAAGTTGCGTGACCTATTTGAATCTTTGAATAGTGAAAATGTTATTTTGCTAAATGCACGAATAAGGAGCAATTATTCTTTTATCACACGAACGAACAAAAAAGACGCATTTTTACTCAACAATGCTACATATTCGATCCAAAATAGCAATGCGCATATGTTTTTGCATTTCCTCTACTAGTTGTGATGTGTGTAAGGGATGTTCCATTGCCGAAGCAAAACTCAATGTCGTCAAGCATGTCACTGGGTGAAAAGATGCACCATGTGACAGTATTTTTGTAATACAAGTGTATAAATGTGTCGGGATAAGGCGGGTCCCCCGGCTCCCGGCAAAACTGAACCAAAATTTCATTGCCATAAGACAAAAATAAGCAAGTAAAAATATGGGAACGGCTAAAACAGGAACATTTACGTTTCTCTCCTCTCAGTTTATCTCCACAGGCCGCTTGACCACGGCAGGGTCACAAAGTTGGGTAGGGAGGGGGCACGCAAGGCTGTGAAGGATGCAAAAAAATGCACGGGTTGTGTCTTTTGATGAATTGAAAGGAGAGTATGTGTCAGTATTTCCGCAGTCGCAATCGGATGGTGATAAGCTGTGTTTTTCCTGTCCACCTCTCACGCCGCGGGAATAAAAAGCTACGAGTGCAAGGAATGTCATCTTATCTGGCGGGGCCCCAAAGGGTGTTCCCGTGTACATGACCTGGAAGAACAGCCAACTACAAAATTCGCAAAGTCTCTTGCCGAAGGTCCCTAGCGTGAGGAAAGGTCTAAGCATTCCTGACGCGGACAACGAGAAAGTAAAGATGTTTCACAGGTCGGATCAGGTCAGATGGATGTATCCGAGGAAAGGACAACACATGGGATTTTTCAGCGAAATTTGTTGTACAAGTTGGGTCATTTTGCCACGGCGTCTTAGGGGAACGTAGAAACAAACCGGTCAAATAATAGCACCCAAAAAATTGTCATGAACAAAAACAAAACCAGTTATGGAGACCTCACGATCGACACCACCCGGCGAAAGCGGTAGCGGAAATCGTTCCGACATTGAACATCAAACAACACTAGACATGTCTAACAGGCCTATCGCGAGTGTTCCGTTTGCAACCTGCATAAGGCCTTGTGGCTACCAGCCCGGGTTTCTATGACGGCCTTTAATAGCCGCGCACATCAATTTGCACGCTCTATTCCACGCCCAACAACGTTTGAAGCGACATTTCACTGACCCTGCGTCGATTACCGAAACCTGGTTTCAACAATCCACACCAAACTAAATATGATAATTATGCCCAAAGACAACATTATCCGCGGTAATAGAGCGAGCAAACGTATAAGAGCACGACTTTAGTTTCCCATTCAGTAAGGGAGGGGGGGGGGGGGAGGGTTTTGAAACTTCATGACGTTGAGATCAAAGAGGGTCAAATCCAGACAATTTTTCAGAGCTACACTTTCCCTACTCAGACACCCAGCCCCCCCCCCCCATCCTTACTTTGCGAAGCTACGCTTCTGTGATGGAGGATCAACGGCAGTGACATGCGACGGATTCTATTGCGAATGCGAATGGACTGCCAACAAAGCTAACAAACTCAAAGTTGAGGTTGAAGGAAAAATTTAGTGAAGTCCCTCTCTAGCAATATTTAAAATTAAGTTGGGCAAGTTCTGCTGGTTTGAATATCGCATTTATAGCTGAATTCAGGCAGCTCGGGTGGTAGTATTCGTTTTGAGAATGCGCGGAACCCGAGGTACACCAAATTCGATGGGCCCCATGTGGCTGTTTGTTATTCAGATGTCTTAAGGTCTCTTTATGTCTATCACTGTCTCGATTTTCCAGGACATAAAAGCAAACCTCAGACAATAGCGGAATGAGAGTGATCCATCGTAAAATCACTACCGTCAAATCACTAACGTCACAACATGCATACAACGGACACGTAAGGACGCTTCAGGAAATGTCGTCGCCTGAGGGTGAAAAAGGATATTCCAGAAGGAAGATTTTGCTGTGTGGATTACGAGCATTGTTTGTTGCGTAAGTTATTCAGTGCATTTGTGAGCAGTATCATTCATACGTATAAGACAGTAACAATGACCCTTCTTCGTCGAATAAAAACCAGGAGATATCTATATCGCCATTCTCCATTCTCCTACATTTCCATCCTCCTGGTTTTTTCTCGAGAAATAAGGCTATTACTACTGTCCTTTATATGTTGCTTGTTTTCTTTACTTTTCTTTTTGATGGGGGAGGTGACTTAGATCGCAGATTGAAGAGGGGAAGAGGAAAACACTCGAGGAGACGAACCTCTAAAGAGGACAAGGGCTTCAGCCATGGCTAGCGGAGCTAGAGATCGCCCTTTATTTGTTGTTCATGAACTCTGGCCGGTATTTTTTATATTTTTTTATCATTAACAATCGCAGTCAACCCCAGCCAGCGGCACGCCATCAACATCACACTGGGCGACGGGATATCTGCACACACACACAACGCACTGTTGACGGTACGGGAATAGACGAGGAGCTGGTGTATCCAAGGGTGCTGCCGTTACAGAGGGAAAAGGACGCTACAGTGCACTGTTGACGGTACGGGTATAGACGAGGAGCTGGTGTATCCAAGGGTGCTGCCGTTACAAAGGGAAAAGAACGTTACAGTGCACTGTTGACGGTACGGGAATAGACGAGGAGCTGGTGTATCCAACGGCGCTGCCGTTACAGAGCGAAAAGACGCTACAGTGCACTGTCGACAGTGCAGGGAAAGACGAGGATATATCCAACGGTGTGGCAGTCACAGATGGAGACGGACGCAATAATGTCATGTTGACAGTGTCAGAGAAGATGACAAGCTGATGTCCTCCATCCAAGCATGCAAACGTTTAAGTGGGGGAAAGATGCTACAATACTCTGTTGACAATGTGTGCGAAGACGAGAAGATCCGGTGGCGTAGTGGTTGGACTGCGCGTCTGCGTAATGAGTCAGCGTAAAGACCCAACGGCAACAATGACTAGTTAATACCCTCCATTCAAACATGAGGTCGTGACAGATGAGACGGCACGCTCCCATAAACTGATGAAAGTATCAGGACAGACGAGAAGGTCATGCCCTCCATCAAACGGTGTGGCCAAGACAGAGCATAGAAACGCTGTTGAAGGGTCCACCAATTCTCTGACCAAACCGGAGAGGCTTATCATCGAGCGGACTCATAGTCTTCTATCAATAGCACAGCTGTACCCCGTAATAACGGCACACAGCACCCACCGTCGGCTCTCGGGTGAAGAAATGGTCGACCATGAAGTCGACGACCTCCTCAAGCCGGTCTTGCTGCAGTCGCACGTACGTGATCTGGGGTTGATCCCCTGCCGCCGGCATGGCTTGCTGCGCCGGCACGCCAGCCAGCCAGTGCGGTGCCGCTGCAGACGACCCGCTCACGTCAGGCCCAAAGGCACGGTCAGAACAGAACACTGGCAACCGACGTTTGCGATGTAGGTTTTCACCAAACACGCCCAGTCCTGCAAACTTATGTCTCCTGTGGTTGGCGCCCACTGCCCTGCGTCATGCAGATAGAAATATATCCTTCCGTGCCAACATTCCGATGTCCGCACCATCCACGACCAAATGTCTCGAAACTCGAAAACTCAGATTGTTGAACCTACTGACAGTTCACAAATTCGCTTGGCAAATGGGCAGCGGCACAGTTCAGCCGACGGTGAAAAAGCATTATGACACGTCTCTTATATTGCACACAGAAGCCCGTCCAGAAATAGTCCCTGCCAACGCACTGTTCGCTGCCGGTCCGCGCAGCTCACCTGTAGTCGGCTGGCGGTCCGGCTCACGTGACGTCAGCCCCAGGGCTGGACGGGAGTGTATCGAGCGACGGCGGCTGGAGAGCTCTGCCTCCATCTGACGCCGCCCTCCCGGGCTCGGTCGGACGCCGTCGCGTTGGTCGGGCCGTGCGCCACTCTCCCGACACGACAGCCTCGGGGCTTCGGTTACCATGCGCCCCCGTGGTGCCGCCTTGGCAGTTGGCAGGCGTCCAGCCCCACCCCCATCCCCCGCGCTCAAGGTCATCACCCGCATGGGCAGGCAAGCTCCGGGCTCCGGGAGCAGGGCTCGAGGTGAGATTGCAAGCAAAATGCTTGTGGGGGAATACATCATTCTTATTCGTGATAAGGGATTGGCGCCCCCGGCAACAACGTATGCTATAGCAACGTATAAATAGGGTCCTCTGAGCAACTGGAAACGACCCGAAACCAATATGAAGGGCCCTTGAGCAACCGAGGATACCCCGGCAGGTTAACATTGGCCCCCACCAATAGCGTACAGAGCCTTTCAGGGGAGTGGGAACTATCTGTGGAGGGTACCTGATCACTCAAGAACGCACCTCCAGGCTTGCATATCGGGCTCCAACAACAGTGTACGGCCCTCCAAGCAAATGCAAAGAAATCGAGGGCAACGCGGAAGGCTCTTAGCGATCGGGTTGATCCGGAGATGGACATATAGGACCTCCGACAATAGCGTGGGCACTAGGGACAGTGTACTGAGTATTAAAACCTCCCCAACCACCACCGTTTCAATCACGCAAACAATTATTTTTGTCATGTGAGTGTTGCCATGCGTTTTTCCAGGTAGAACAAAGGCATGCAAGGTCAACTGAGGTCATCCAAGGTCAATGACCCATGTTAACAGCAGCGGATAGGCTAGATGAACAAGACGCGCGTGACCACCTTCCCACCGTGTTTGTGAAGCTGATGAAGTCTAATTGCATGTACCAGCGTACCTGTTCTCAGGTTATTGCAGATACATTGCTATGCGTCAAAGGGACCATGCATGATGCAGACAACAGATATGTGACCTCGAATACCTGTAGCCACACATTACACTACATTTGGCCACAGATTATAAACGTTGTATTAGTCACATCGGCCCGAACGGCGCTTCATTTTCTCATTTGGATGGCTTTAAAATCTGACCTAAGTTGACCTCAGATGACCTCTAGGCTGCCCTAAAATTATATTTTTTTTTTTGCTTGGAATGGTTTGGTCCCACAGATGCAGGTCGACCGTTTTTACCTTTCGTGACCCCTGGTGACCTCATATTTGACCTATGTTTAGTGTGAATTTTTCATGACTTGACGAGACCTTCAAAACGGTATATTTTGCTTTCCTCATCCGGCGACTGAAAGTTGGAGATCCCAGATTCAGCAGCCGTGATTGATACCGATCTTGCCATTCCAGGCCTCAGGAAACAAAACACGGGAGAACCACAGATCATTTCAGACTGTCATAATGAAGCTGAGCAGGTTTTCAAAAAGATCACGGAAAGAATGGTGCAACTCATCATTACCGACTGAGGTGTCGCCGCGGATTTAATCGCTCTTTTGAGCTCCAGTCAAGAAAAGTGCGCAGTGTTCTGTGTTGTCGGGTAAGAGAGCAATTGGCACTGAAGTGAAAACGGGCCTGCGCTTGATCCACGAAAAGTGCGCTGTGAATCAGCATAAATATATCATTTCATGATCAGTTTAAACCTAAATATCCTATTCATTCTGAGTTAACAGTGAAAGCAGCGGTTATGACACAAAGGATCGATGCTTTGTCTACGTTGTAGGTATGATTTGGTTCGCAACGTGACTGCAAGTGATTGTGTGATGCGTAATTTAACACGCGCTCCGATGGGGGCTCAGATTGTGTGATGCGTAATTTAACACGCGCTCCGATGGGGGCTCAGATTGTGTGATGCGTAATTTAACACGCGCTCCGATGGGGGCTCAGATTGTGTGCTGCGTAATTTAACACGCGCTCCGATGGTGGCTCAGATTGTGTGGTACGTAATTTAACACGCGCTCCGATGGGGGCTCAGATTGTGTGGTACGTAATTTAACACGCGCTCCGATGGGGGCTCAGATTGTGTGGTACGTAATTTAACACGCGCTCCGATGGGGGCTCAGATTGTGTGATGCGTAATTTAACACGCGCTCCGATGGGGGCTCAGATTGTGTGATGCGTAATTTAACACGCGCTCCGATGGGGGCTCAGATTGTGTGATGCGTAATTTAAACACGCGCTCCGATGGGGGCTCAGATTGTGTGGTACGTAATTTAACACGCGCTCCGATGGGGGCTCAGATTGTGTGGTACGTAATTTAACACGCGCTCCGATGGGGGCTCAGATTGTGTGATGCGTAATTTAACACGCGCTCCGATGGGGGCTCAGATTGTGTGATGCGTAATTTAACACGCGCTCCGATGGGGGCTCAGATTGTGTGGTACGTAATTTAACACGCGCTCCGATGGGGGCTCAGATTGTGTGGTACGTAATTTAACACGCGCTCCGATGGGGGCTCAGATTGTGTAGTACGTAATTTAACACGCGCTCCGATGGGAGCTCAGATTGACCCACCAAGGGTTTTCCAGAATGGTTTCCGAACGGCACGGCATGGCCGCGCCAACTATTGCGTAACTGTAGGCAACTGAATAGCAGGTCGTTTGGCATAAACAAATTTAGATACACCTTGTACGGTCGCTAACCTATGGCAGGTCAAAGTCATGCAATGGTTTCAGCGAAGGCAATATGAGGAATAGTTCAATCTGATCCAACAACGGAGCGTAAGACGAAGCCATACATCTCTGGGATACTTTCTTAGGTTACACAACAATTAAATAAACAAATTGTATTGACCTAAGTCCAGGTATGAAGGCCATAGGAGGTCAAATCAACCCGTCTCTAGGTTGATTGTGATGTGATGTGATGACGATGATGATATGTCCTTAATCTACGGCTTGCTGTATGAGGTGGTTTCTGGTGCTCATTCCGAATTTATTGACCACAGGTTCCGCATTATACACCTTCCATAGACTTCTTTAAGGTCAAAATAGGTCACTGACCTAGAATGACCCAGGTCAACATTTTATTTTTAGGAACATACTGCCTAGCTAATATTTGCCGCTTATCCAACTGCATAACTCAAAACGGTCCTGTATGATTTTGCCACCATGACCTTCAAAAGGTCAAACGGGGTTGCTGACCTTAAATGAGCATTTGACTTTCGTGTAAGACAGCCATCTAGGTTCCAGGGGTCCTTTGGAGACCAAACTGGAATTTCACTTATTTGACCTTATTTTACCCTAAGGACATGACCTAGGAACCTCAAACATTAGCATTAGTCAGTTCACGTACAGGTCAACACACCCGGTAAATTTTGTGTCTCTAGCTCTTAGCTTCTTAGATCTCAGTGGGTCAGATTGACCCGCCCCCCCCCCCCCCTTCTCACCCGAGCGAGGATACCCAACCGGCCATCCGAGCGCGTGCCAAACACAATTTTGAATTAATCAGTGCCTTACTAACCTGGATTGCCTGTTGTGCCGATATTGCCGTGAAACTGTCGGCCACATAAACAGAGGATGGTGGCTGGCTATTTGTGTAAGATGCACCTTCCTTGGTACTCAAATAGCAGTTGGGGTGGTTTTCAAAAGCAAAGCTTCTGTTGAAATTAGGACATTTTTGAAACCTCAGCTGAACAGAGGACCTGCAGTTTTCTCGCATTTGCTACTGAGATCTTGTTTTGGAGTCCCGGGAAAAAGTCCCGGGGGACCCCCCATAGTTCACCTGGCACTTACACCTTTTAGGCGTCCACTTCGTGCCCTAGACATACCGCACGGAAATAATTATTCAGGTGGAAATTCAAACTCCACACGCATACCCCGCAGCATCGACCCTCCGCTTACCCACCTCACGACCCCCTCGGGAGCGACGGGACCGCGTACTCCGAACTGGACGACTCGACAACAGCTGGTTTAGAGACGAAAACATCGTTGGGCAATAGCCCGGGAGGAAAGACCCCAAGAATGAGCGCAATCCCAACAACATTTTATGTTAAGAACGTAATATTTTGGTGTATTAGCACCGTATTTGTTACATACAATAAAGCTTTATCCGACAAATTTGGTACAAAGTCATCTGCAAGGTGCACTCGTCACCAACAAACCCGCGTCTTGAATCTTGACAACAAATAATGGCCGCTACCTAGTATTAGCATATGTCATAGTTGACTACAATATCGCACTTGAAACCTCTCGAGATGGAACTTGTGCACAGCAAATTACTTAAAATTTTTGGTACAGAGCTATAAACAACTATGGGTGGGACTGCCGTTGTCGTAAGACCAAAACCGTTGGCCGGCGCAGAAAACGCTTCGAGGCCAGAGCCGGACGCGCGAGAACGACCGTCCTGAATAGTGCTCCCGAGTCTTTCAGAAGCAATTCGTAATGTTCAAAAATAGGACGCTGACTACCTCTGACCTTTATAATTGTAAGGTTATTCATTAATTGGATGATTTTTTTGAGAGAACAAATGAGAACAATTGTAGCAGCACGAAAAGTGGATAGCCTTCTTTACTTTTCCAGTTTCAAAGCCAGATTTCAGCAAGAGCTTTGCGCTGCTGTAAATACTAATCCGTTTCGGTTGCCAATCCAAATCAATACAACAATGACGCAGGTCAAATACCCGACAGGAACGCTTTCTAAACGCATAAATTGATGTTATAAAGTATTCAAGGGGTACTTATTTTAGCTATTTTTACAGTTCAGGCCGCCGTTAGCCGCTGCTTCGTGTTACCCGCAGGCCGAACCCGTGCTGCCTGCGGTGTGCAAAGCCGGACGTCTGGTTTTTGGTTCTAAGACTTCAGAGCGCGCACGTTTAAAACTTTGGTTCATAGTTTTTCACTATTCACTTCTTGCTGAAGGTTGGACATTCCCAGGCGAACATGGGTTAGCTATGTAAATACAAATTGTTGACCCCTTTCGATCCGCAGTCAGTCCACGTTCCCAGTCTTCGATATCTGAGCCCAAAATCGTGCCTGTTCGGGAGCAAGTGGGCCAAATTTGGTGATTTTTTAGGGGGCGGGGGCTTTCACCATCAAGGGACCCCTTTGCCAGCCTTGTGCTCTCCCGGACGGACACCTACGACGGACACC